TTTTTCAAAATTAAAAGCAAACATAAAAAAACTACAATTATACATTTATGTATGTACAATGCTTTCAAGAATTCCAACAACTTGCTATAGAAATTATGTGCTTGTTCCAAGAAAAAGCACATCGAATATGTCATGCTCAAGATAGATGGTTTTCACCAAATGAACATAATTTAATAAGAGGTGGTTAACTGGACATAGACTTTCTATTTTAATAACGAATCGTCACTGATTTGTGAGAGAAGGCCCGCTCTACTCTCTTTTTCTCTCTTACACAAACACACTCGCTCAAGAAAACGGGCTGGAAACGCAAACGGATCTAGTAAATCTTGGAAAGCAGTAATGGATTACTGCTTCAGATCTCTCACCAGAGTATCAATTTTCACCATTGTTCTCGCCATATTGCTTTCTTCATTCAGTTTCACTTGCACAGGTATGCATCTGCTTTACATTCGAGTTCTTGAAGTTTCCAGTTGCCAGTTTTAATCAATTCGGTTTCTGGGTTATGCTTAATTCAATAGATTTGCCCACTATTAATCAAAGACTAGTACTTTACTTGCTCGATTGACTGATGAGTGTAGGAGATTTCACAGACTTGCTAGTATAGTATATTGGGGTAGCTGATTAATGTCTCCTTTATCAGATTAGTTTCTCCTTTTGCAAAATTAAAAAGATTCGATCTTTATTGATCGAGATTTATAGTTCAATACCTTAACTGAATGAGATTTCAATGATCGATCAATTTAGTGTAAGAAATCGGTACATCGGAGATGAAAATGGTTAGAGATCTCATTTCCATTAATGGATCCGTCGATGCAAATACTTTTGTACACGAAGATCTGTAAATCTTAATTGAATGTTTGATCATCTTATATTCACCGAATAATAATAACAAATTTCTCCAAGTGAGGCTGCGCTATTCAAGATCAAAAACTGACTCAATTACCTAACTTTTCATGACCCTTCTTTTTTCTTCAGAAGCCTATGATGCACTCGACCCAAATGGAAACATCACAATCAAGTGGGATATCATAAGTTGGACACCTGATGGCTATGTTGTAAGTATCAAAAACAACTTCCTTCTCTCTTTAAATCTCATAATCGATAATTAATTAATTACCAATAACACCCTTACATTTGATGCAGGCTGTTGTGACAATGTATAACTTCCAGCAATATCGGCACATTTCACCTCCAGGGTGGACATTAGGTTGGACATGGGCTAAAAAGGAGGTGATATGGAGCATGATGGGGAGTCAAACCACTGAACAAGGAGATTGTTCAAGATACAAAAGTGCACCACCACATTGCTGCAAGAAAACTCCAACTGTTGTTGATTTATTACCAGGAACCCCTTACAATCAACAAATTGCTAACTGCTGCAAAGGAGGTGTCATCAACTCGTGGGCCCAAGATCCCAACAATTATGCCAGCTCGTTCCAGGTCAGCGTGGGTGCAGCCGGAACCACTAACAAAACTGTCAAACCGCCCAAGAACTTTACCTTGCTTGCACCCGGTCCAGGCTATACGTGTGGGCCCGCTGTTGTTGGTAAACCAACAAAGTTTATTACTCCAGATGGAAGAAGAGTAACTCAAGCCATGAGTAAGTATACTGTTTCTTTTTCAGTTGATTAAGCACTTAATCTGGGCAGCTATATTTGGATGTTTCTTTTTGACTGTTAAGCAATTATTATTGGCTTACTGTATTAAGCCACCAACTATTGTATGATTTGGTGCTTCCATCTAACACGGCGTTAAATCATCTATAAAATGACCAACTTACCCCTGTTCTTGGCAGTGACATGGAACGTTACATGTACATATTCACAGTTTCTTGCTCAAAAAACTCCCACTTGCTGTGTATCTCTCTCTTCTTTCTACAATGACACAATCGTACCCTGCCCAACCTGCACATGTGGATGCCAAAACAATATTACTCACCCTGGAAGCTGTGTAAAGTAAGTAAGGTTACTTCTGTCATTTTGTATGTGGAATGAAAAGCTTAAGATCTTGCTAATCTAACCCCTAATATTCCAATTGTTTTTGCAGCCCAAACTCACCATATCTAGCTTCAGTTGTTAATGGTCCTGGTAAGAACAGCTTAACACCTCTGGTTCAATGCACTAAACATATGTGCCCTATTCGAGTTCACTGGCATGTGAAGCTTAATTACAAGGAATACTGGCGTGTGAAGGTCACCATTACAAATTTCAACTACAGGATGAATTACTCTCAATGGAACTTGGTTGTTCAACACCCCAATTTTGATAACCTTACTCAGATTTTCAGCTTTAACTACAAACCATTGACTCCTTATTCTTCTATAAGTAAGTTCACTTATACATACATTTTGATTAAAAATGATTTGGCACTTATTGTTTTTGAATGTGTACAGATGATACTGCTATGTTGTGGGGTGTTAAGTTCTACAATGATTTTCTGAATCAAGCTGGACCATTGGGGAATGTTCAATCAGAGTTACTCTTCCGTAAAGATAAATCAACTTTTACGTTTGAAAAGGGTTGGGCTTTTCCTAGAAGAATCTATTTCAATGGTGATAATTGTGTGATGCCACCTCCAGATGCATACCCTTATCTCCCAAATGCCAGCTCACGTCTAAGCTTCTCGATACTCACTTTATTGATGGGGTCTTTGGTCTTTTTCTTTGCCTTTGTTTGAGGTTTAAGTAGCCCTTGAAGATTGTCTGCATGTGGTTCATCTTAAACAAGAAGGTTTAAGTGTGTAATGTGGGTGAATTCACCTGTTTGTCAATGTTGTGTTACATTTTTATTGTGTTGTAGAGTAGTTGAAGTTATAGTGTTGCTTACAGTTGTATAATTAAAACCCACAAGTGATAATTTAAAGCAGATATTCAATTTTGGTTATGTTGTGCTTGTTATTCGACATTTGAAGATTATGAATTATGTTGTAAATGTTTGGATAATGAAGCAAAACTCAGTTTATCTGGACAGGTTCTTGTATTTGTGGTCACTTGTTCCATTATATGGTTTCAGTAGCAACTTTGGACAACATATATGTGTGGATTGTATTCCTTTGTTATATTGTTTTTGATAGTCCAACTCCATTATTACTCACTAGCATTTCCATGTATTGTTTTGGATTGTCCAACTTCAGTCTTATTTAGTAAGCTTCTCAAGCCTAATATACTACTCTGACATGTGTTCAGCTTAGTAGCATGTTTCGTGGCTTTTGATATCGAGGATCTTTGAGGACATTTAGAAGATTATATAAATGTCATATTATACATAACTTAGACATTTTAAATATGTCTCTTGAGATAGCTGTGATGCCCTTATATATTGTATATTATGCGTATCATTATCAGCATCATCAAATGTTGTCTACAACTTATCACGATCACATGCGTTCACAAATGGATCATTCTAGTTTTATCGAATTCTTGGATGGTATTCGTCTGTTTGTCGAATTCTTGGATGGTATTTTTAGGATATATGTCAGAAGTTAAAAACTTCACCAGACAAATTTGAGAAGTTATAGAGTATTAAAAATTATAAATAAGAAGGTACCTAATCGTGATTTTAGAATTGTATGATGTTCGTCTCATTGTTGAATTCTTGGATGATATTTTTAGGATATATGATCTGCTATTCAGAAGTTAAAAACTTCAACAGACAAATTTGAGAGTCAACCCATTTCACAAATTTTTACTTTACTTTATTTTAGGGATCAACGATCCTTATATAGACATTATTTTACAGATACGACATATGGCTAACTATTGTTAGTCAATTACACATATTATTCTACATTAGTGCATTATTACAAACGACACATACCTAACAAATACATATTGGGTGCTATTATGCATCATTGACATTTGTGTCATACACAAAATACATTCATACTATTACATATTTGACAAAAATCGATATATCATAATTATTACATGTTTGACAGATAATAATGTATCGTGCTTAAACAGTAGTATCGTATATCGTGCTTGCTCTTATCTCTTGAGTAAGTTAGCAAATTTTACTGCAAACCGAACTGATTCTTTACGATTAATGTTATTGTATGAAAAGAATAGAAGTGGATTGTTCAATACAAAAAAATTAATTAAAATCAATTTGTTTGATGAATTCTTATATGCACATATGTGACTCATGTTGTTATAGGTTTCTACATAACTTAAACATTTTTGTGTTCATTTGTTATGTTCTTTAGGAATGTCTTTTGTTTATTCACTATGCTTCCCAAATCTTGTTTTGGATTGACCATCCATCCACCTACCCATCCTCTTAAATCATTCACGAGTTGAACTCAAAGTTCATACATACTGCTCGAAACGAGCTGAACTAGAATTTGTATAAACTTAAGCGACCTCGAGCCTGGTTGGGTTTGGGACCACTCGGCTCATTTACACCCATTGGGCCCTATGTCTCATATATCCTCTGAATTATTCACTAGGTCATATTAACCCCTACATAAGAAGTTAACAATCTTCACAACCTAGACTATCCTATTCCACAAAAGGTACATGATTGTCCTCAGTCGAACATCATATGTATACCAACATTATACATCATAAGCCATAAGGCACCCTAGACATTAGTAATAAGTAATAACTCTAAAAGACCCCCATTGAAGACCCCAACAATGCTCTGCTAATTCATTGCTACATTGGCCACTCTACCTAAAACAAAGTTTGTTTTTTTAATCACATGCATTCAACCCGAGTAGTTTGAAGTTCATCTGCACCACCTGCGGTCCATATAATGTTTTTGTTATTCTGATTAACTTCGGTTTTGTTCTTCATAATTCTTCTGTATATCTCTCAAGATGTTTTTTCTATTTTTAAAGCCAATACTAAAAGCAAGAAAAGATTGTTGTTTTCTAATGAATTTCACAAAGTAATAGTACATATTCAAACACAAAACAACAAGAAACCTAGAGCTCAAAATGAGGAGAAGGGTCAAAATTTCCATAATTATGATTCGGGTAAAATGAACAAAAATGTCTAACGTATCATCAATCCTTGCATCGTTTGAGTTCCTTCCTCAGCAACCTTGTTGGCTTGAATAGTTGTTATTACATTTGCAACATTACCCTGAAAAACAAAATATAATAATTTACATACTGACCACATAAATCAGTAGACAAGTTTGAATTATATAAAAGCAACTTTTTACCCTCCATGTTGTCAGCTTTGTTCTAAGAGCTTCCCACTGAGACACCCCAAACACACTCTCACTGTATCGGCTACACACACCATGACTCACAAAATTAGTAATTGTAATTTAACTACTAATTTATAAACCACATATTTTATTTTCTACACACCTCACTCTAATCACTTGATTCATTTGGTCGATTTTACAATCAATCAATTTTGCAGCGATTGCCTTTACCACCCATGATTCCACCTCATCTTCCTCTATCTGAAGAGAGTTCTTGATTAAAGAATAAGGAATTTGACCAGATTCATTAGAAGCAAGATCCACAATTGTCATTAACCTCATCTTTGAGATACAGTCTTCATGGACAAGGCCTAAATCATGCCAAAAATATAAAATATGAAACAAGAACAAGGGCAATTTAGTCAAAAAAATATCAAAATCAGATGCTGATCATCACCATAGCTTTTCAGTAATTCAGAATTTGTTGTATAAAAATCCAAGTATGCGTCCAATCTTTTGACCAGAAATATCTTTAGAAGCTCAAAGACTAATGCATACTTTGAGTCTTTCTCCAGTTGTGCTACAGCTGGCATCTCAAGCAGATCACACTGCATGGTAATTCAAACAAAAAGATGATCAATTTCATTTTCATCACAAAGTATAGTTTGATTTTACAATAGTAAACCTAAGTACCTGAAACATGTCGGGTGCTTTCACAAATTCAATAATGGTGTAAGCAGCTTCTTCTTTTGCCTCATTTATATCATGTGCATCATCACCAGAGAATGTTGCCAGATACGTGGTTAGAAATTTGAGGTTTTCTTTGGTTGAGCTGAAATTCCATTTTATTGAAGAAAGAATTTAGTGAAGGTGGATTGAGGAATTTATATCTATTTGTGATTGATACCTCTTATGTTCCTTCAAGATATTAGAGATGGCAAGAAAGAGTTGTCTTTGATCCTGGAGTCCAAGATTCCATTCCTTCAATAGGGTGTCCATATTTTTAAATGAAGGTATGATGTGATCCATGACCTTCCCATTGGCTGCTACTTCAAGAGCCTTCATGTAAACAAGGAACCTTCCATAAGGGTTCTCTAACATGTTGTACAGATTGAACAAGCTGAAGAAATGTTGGAAAGATTAACATGAGATGATGCTTTGTGTAAAGGGTGTAAAAAAATAATCTCAGCTTACATCTTTAATCGGAGTGAAGGCTTTTCATTTGGTTGTTGAGCAATTTTTGTGGATATGAGCTTTGAAATCTCTAGTGACTCATCAAGGCTTTCGGGCTTCTTAACAAGATTGCAGATGACAGTGAAGATGCACTCGAGATCTGAGATAACAACAAACAAATGGCAGATTAAGAAAATGATTTTCAGAAAACATGCTTTTGAGTGTATCCAGATTCCAGACTTAAGTATCTAAAGAACTGAAATGCATTTCAGAATACTAACCCCTACATGTTTTTCATAGAGAACGATATGTACAATGATAGCAAAAAAAGAGTGTAACAATGAAAAGAGAATAAACCTCACAGAATCAACCATGAGAAACCAACAAGCATAATAAAGGGACAAATAATGTCGATGGAGAATCAACAATTCAACATCTCATCTTTATAGCCAGTACAGCTGAGTGCATAAGTGCATTATGGGAGTAGATAGTAGATACCACTTTCAGTAACAGAAAACATGTTTATAAAAATTGTTGGAATGTGGTATCTGATTTATACCACCAGCATTATTATTTTAAGTTGATGAGTTACACTCTTTTAAAGAAGTTAGAATGGTTCTTGCATTTTCCTTTTTCTTTTTTCTTCACAGGTCCAAAGCATGTAATCATGCCATGAATTTCTGAGGTAAACTTTGATCTGGTAATAAGTGTCACCAAAAAGGTCAAAAGCCCCATATCTTATTCGGATTTCAAGCTTCCATCAAAATTAGAATGTAAACAGCATGTAAAATTGTAAACTTACAATACTAAGCTACGATAGCAATTCAATAGTCTGTATACTAATCATGGTAACATGGAATGTATGTAATCAGAAAAATCAAGCATCAGATTGAACTTAACCTTTTTCTGAAGCTTTAGAAAATACTAAATCAGCCGAAGTAATCATTAGTGAAGCCAAATCCAACCATCTGCCAGCAATCATGCATTCCTGGGCCTCCATGCACAAACTAGTCACTTGTGGTTCAGCTACCTGAGCCGCAATTCAAAGAATTTTAACACAAATTGAACAAGTAACCATAAAATTCCTACATGCTTAAATATACTACATTTTTCAATGCTATTTCGCGTTAACGAAAACCAAATCGACAGAAAACTGCTTCAGTGATTTTGGTGAAATATGCATTTTGTGGGTGGCAATAGATTGGGTTTTTTAATACCTCAGGACCGGCTTCAGCCCAGGACATCTCGGCGGTGAAACGCACAACGGAGAGGGCGGGATCTTCCTCGGATGTAGGTACGACGGTCGTCATATTGGTGGCGTTGATAGTAGAAACTGCTCTCTGCAATTCTTGCAACTCGTATCTCTACACTCAGCGCAGCAGAAAGCTACCAGGCTACGAGTTGCGCGAAAGATAAAAACCCTAACCCGGAGTTCAAGCAGTTACATCTGCCTTAGGTCCTTCAGGATTAATAACTACACTATACCCCCTATACTTGCACGAATTGCACATTAAGTGATAAATAAACTTTTCAAAACGAGAAACAAATCAATATAGAAAAATCTTTGAATTCTTAAAAATAAAATTAGTAGTAAAGACATACATTTCTTAAAAATAAAATTAGTAGTAACTTCTAAAGACATACATTTTCTCTGTACGATCAAACTATGGTGCCATCTGGTAAACGCAGAATGAAACAAATAATGGAAAACATCATTTAATTCTTACAAACAGATGTTGTTTGATTGATTTTATGTTTAAGGGAATGATCGAGTCATTACAAGGAATGTCATTTCTTTAAAACGCGGGTTTTGATTGATGCTCACCCTGTTTTTTTCATTACTTGGCTCCAAGGAATGATAACTATCACATTACCCCTTTATTGATGGGTTATAACTCATCAATCACATCATAATCATCTCTGCACTTCCACAATGCAACAATTCTATCTAGTTAAACATATGGGTAATATTCGGATTGGTGAACCTGCTTCGACCATAGAAGCTACCAGATTATTTTATCGTTTCCAATGGAATAAGTGAATTCATTTTAATATTCATCATCAATGAAGTGTTCAATATGAAGGGATATTAATTAAAAGGTATGTGTTGGTTTATTTCCTGTTTTCTTTGTCATGTGATTTCCAATATCTCAATTAAGGTCATTTACACAAGCTTCGTTTTAATGAGCAGATTTGTAATTATATAAACATAATCATAAGAATGAAAGTGCCTCAATGAAATAAATTCTTTAACAGATCTATATACATGTTGTTTAGTCGTGTTGGTTTATGGCAATCAATTTTATATATATATATATATATATATATATATATATATATATATATATATATATAT